TTGCTATCACCAGGCCGTCTTTTTCGAGGGCGGCGCTTCCAACCTTCGGATGCCGACGGAAGCGATCCCGAAGTTCCGCCGGAAATGGATTCTCAGCAACCCTGACATAGCACCAGCGCTCCTTCCAGCCCTTGTTTGACGAAGGCGCCTCCGTGAACAGCTTCCACCTGGCCACCTGCTGCAGGTTGGCGAAGCCCTCGGCATTCGCGTGACCCCCTCGACAGAGGTTGAAGCTCTGGAAGAACAAGTCCAGGCTGGGGGTCACCCCTCGATCCCTACAGAGGTTTAAAAAACCCGCCACATAGGAGTGGCTATTAGGTGTCAGCTGGCAGGGCACCAAGCCAACGAACCGCAGGTACTCCCGGAGGAAGGGGTGCAGAGGGAACCGAAGGCCCATGGAGACCGACAGTACGTGTACTGCAATGCACCCTTCAGGCGCCCGAGAGAGCACATCGTCAACTCCCGGCTCGACCACCTCGGCCGAGGGCCCTACATGTAGCTGCGTCACGTAGAGGTCCGCCCTGTCCGCCTTCGACTTTATCTCCAAGGCAGCCGTGTTGAGCCAGGAATACCCCTCCGGCATATCTACGGGTTTCCCCTGATCAGCAGCTATGACCTTCTTCTTGGGGACAGCCGCCTTGGCCTTCTTCTTCCCGGGGGCCACCCGGATGGGAACCGCGTTCAGCGGCTGGGAAGTACTGGCCTCACCAGCACCCCGAGGGGGAAGGACGGCCATAGTGACCTTCGCCCTCTCTTTTTCCTCCTCCTCTTCAGTGACTTGGACGGCGAGGGCCAACTCTTCATCCTCGGCAGTTCGCTCGAATTCCTCCGCCTCGGCCTCGGCCATCAGATCCTTCTGCACCTCAGTGGCGAGGGCTGCATCACCACCATCCGAAGGTTGACCACTGCTTGACTCCACGTCGGAGATGCCTTTGTCCTCCATCGAGGGCGTCCTCGAGATATCTTGAGAATCACTCTGGGACGACATTCGCACTCTAGTTCGAGGGCTCGTAGACGGTAGTGTTTCCTAACTTTTCTATCTCCTAACCTAAGGGCACAGTACAGCTATGCTAGAAGGAGTAAGGCAGGGAGCACTGACCTCGAAAGCTGAGTTGGGACCGAAGGCTGGAGTTTCTCTCACTAGATTTTTTGGCAGAGCTTCGCTAAGACAACTGAGTTCGCACAGGGGAAATGGCTCTGGCCTTGGGGTATTTATAGGCGATGAATCCGGGCTTGGGCCTGGATTCCGGGCCTCCGGACGGACCGCCATCATTACACACCGCCGTTTCACCCAACCGGTGACGCCGCCCACGAACAGCCAGCCATCACACGCCACGTGTGCCACCCCCCCCCCCCCAACGGCTATATCCTGTCGTTACATATTCCAACGGCTATATTTCCAACGGCTATATTCTGGAAGCCCCCGGGTTTTCTACTTCACTCCACTTCATCAAGGATAGCCTCCGGGTGCACTCACCCGGAAGTGCCCCTGGGTTGTGCCCCACACAGTACATTACACACGCCTTCGGGATCACTCCTTCAGAAACCCAGGGCTTCATATCAGGACACCCCCTCGGGGATTCCCCCTCAACACTGCAAAACCGGGTAGCCCCCGGGGAGTTGCCTCATTGACGGATGACCCACAACACACAGGTAATGGGAGCCCTCGGGTATCTTCATCACCAACCAATCAACAAACAGTGGACCCCCCGGTAACAACTCCACTGCTGCCTTCATCTGGCAGGCCCTCGATCCCTGGATTGAGGGGCTCCCCTTCGGCACCACCAGGACATCAACAGCAAGCCTTCGGCTAATCAACACAGGAGCCCTCAGACGAGAGAGAGCCTTCGGCATTCCCGTCATTCTCCATTTTTTACCAAGGTTTGACATTTTCGACTCATCATTGGAGGAATTCGGTGCACTCTTTTTCCCATATTAGGATTTTTTCCCAAAGGGTTTTTCCTAATGAGGTTTTTAACGAGGCATCCCCCAAAATGAAACGAAAAACGTCAGCCTTCGGCCCACAACAGCAACATAACTACTTTGCTCCTTTTCACCACTTTACAAGTGCCTCAAGGAGTGGGGGACTGGAGGACCCCCTCGGGAAAGTCATTAAATTACAAAATCTGTGAAATTCCAACAAAAAGGCAAGCCCTCAAGTCCCGACATGTGGGTAACTGAGGGACTGCCTTCGGTAGGGACATAAAAGCAACAACTCCTCACCAACTCCAGAGATCACGACGGGACAACATCAAAGGGCAATCACAAATTACTCCTTTTCCCTCAAGTACCTTTCGGCAAAAGGAGTGAGGGACTCCTGATGGAGTATATGGCCCAGGTATTCGGCAATACAAATACATAACAATAGTAATAATACTAATAATACTAACAACAACAACAACAACAACAATAAAATATTATCGGGTATGATCTGATCTAGTCTGGTCTGGTTTAATCTGGTCTGGGACGAATTACCGTCCAAGTAAAAACAACCTAACATTGTCATGAAAAAGTTAAAAAAACAAATTATAAAACCGTACAAAAGAGAGGGAATCGTAAATGATTGTTTATGTTTAGGAAAATTCTATGGTGCATCTCTAAATTTCGCATGTACGGTACATTTCCTTACGTAGGCAAATAAAACAATGCCACGTGGACATTAAAATTCATATATATTTTAATTATTTCCATGTGCTACAATACTATTGGTCCGCGTAAAATCAAATCAAAGGGTGCACCTTAGAACTCCCCGTATGTTTATCACTTTATTTTACCACACGTGCAGATGGAGGCTCCACATAAGTAGAAAATTAGAAATACGTACTTACCATGGGGCCGCAGGCGGAGAGGTTTACGTGAAAGGATTGAAGGAACGGTTTAGAGTTGGGATTAGCATCCGGATTCCATCTGTATATTTTGAATTCTTTCATCACCCGCCGCCCTTCACTTTCCCTCTTCATCTTCAATAGACGGGGGGACTCGACAGCCTCATTCGCGTGTTCTTCAGCAACCTTCAGGTTGGCAAACTTTTCTGATGCATCTTCCTTAAACAACCCTCGTACGCTCTTCCATCCTCGTCTCAACCCATTCCTAACCATCTTCATCATAATCAATCAAGTACTCCCTACGTATCATAACATGTTAAGCAAATTATATACCTTCATCTTATATATAGATCTTCTATTTTGATAGTAATAAGTGTGTTTATACGACGTGTTTCCTAGCTTTCTGGATGAATCAATTCGATGGTTTTACTTTAATTGGAATGGTACAGGTGGATGAGTCGCATGTCTGAAACGTGGTGACAATTTAGCAATGTAATTCGGTGGGTGAAGCTTCTCATTATAAATAGGCATGGATCCGGTCTGGTTCAGTCTCTAATTCGGGGCCATGATCGGCCGGTGTTTGCCCTTAAATGGAAGACCCGAGACCGACACAGTATAAAGATGTCTCGAACCGGCTGGGGTTACTGCATGTCCATTCACCGTCTTGATTTCGGTTTCGTAAAACGGAAAATAACAAAAGAAAATTGACTGCTGAGGGTCATACTGGGCCGGAGACTGACAGGTCCCGGTTGGAAAAATGACACCTGGACCGGGTAACGAATTGAACTTATTTGAAGGTGTACTCCATTAATTTTTAACAAATTTATACGAAAAATGAATATTTACTTTTTCATTTTTTAATTAAATGCGTACTTTTGTAATTATACTACCTTCGTTCCAAAAATGTTTGTTGTATTGACTTTTCTTAGTCAATGATGATGAACTTTGGACAATAATTTTAAGTATTATATTTGTATATAATTTATAAATTTTATATACTTTTATGAAAATATTATGAAAAAAGAACATTTTGATATAACTTTCATATTCTAAATAATTTCGTAATAAAAAATATCATTGGTCAAAGTTGATTGTCATTGACCAAGAAAAGACAATTTGGTGAACCTTTTCGGGACGGAAGGAGTACATCAATTTTTTACAATATTTTTTATAAACAATTAAGATTTTAAAAGTCAAACATTTTGATGTAAAAATAAATAAGTTTGAAATTAATCTTTTCGGTTGTTGCTTCAACCCCGTTTTAAAAAAAATAACTAAAACATATACAAAAATATTGCAACAATGAAATCTTTATTTTTACATTTGGATCTACTCAGAAAAAAAAATTGAACCTAAAATACTACTCCGTAGTAGTCAGATCTTTTTTTTTAACTTTATATACTCACACTCTCACGGAAACAGCTTCCCAATTTGACTCAAGCCATTTTAGGGAATAATTAAATTGGGAGTTGACTTTCCAAGTCTGGTTTGAATCTAGTCTGGTTTCATTGTATTTTTATAATTATCCAAGTCTTGTCTAGTCTGGTCTGGTCTAAATTGGTCTGGTCTGATCTGGTCTGAATTACAGTCCAAGTAAAAACATCATTGCTCTCCTCCGGGCTCCGGGCAAGTATTCACCCAATTTCTGTGTACTAGCGAAAGTTCCTCTTTATTAAAGTGTGAACTTTATTTTGGAACATACAAATAGAATAGGGAAAGTGAAAAATTGATTCAAGTAAGGATGTGGACATGTGGTATAATATTGAGCCGAAAATTAAGATTTTGGTAATTTGGTGTTGAACCAGCATCTAGCTAGGCAGTGCATGTACTGTTAATTATCTAAAACATTTTGAAGACTTGTAATGCTTGTTTTTTATTTCTCATTTCTTATCAAAGGTAATCTTAATATTTTTTTCTTTGGTAATATTTCAAAGTAAATAACATAACACAGTTTGGAACCCCCATGATCCCTTGCGGGAGTCGGGCCCGAACTGAAGAGATAAACTGGACTCATGCCAGTGCATAGAATATCCGATCCTGACTCTTGATTATCAGTGTAGCTTTCCTTGGACTCGTAACTTGGCCCACCCATAAGTTCTAGTTCTTGAAAATATTGGTCTAATATTGGAAGGAAAAGTGTAAATAAAATCAATGTCAACCAACAATAAGTATGTGAAAAATTGTTGTTTGTCAAAGATTTGAGGTTTAGGAGGATATTACCGGACAGGAGGTGTCATGAGTAACGAGAAAGCAGAATGTTGTGTACGGGTGCTTCTTCAATGTGCTTAGTTAATTTAAAAGAGTAGAGAAGCTGAGAAGCATCACAGCCTCACAGGCTGAATAGAATTAAGAAAAGGACCCAAAAAAATTATACACAGAATACAAGCGGCCCTAGAGTACAAAGGAAAACTATAGCAAGCAAGGGCACCTCTCAATCATCTTCCTCTGGAATCTTGGTTTGTGGGATATGTGGTGCAGCGCAATCCTTACACGTTGCGCTTAGTACGTCTCGAATAATCAACTCGTTGAAGAAACGACTGGACACAAGTTCTTTGACAGGCACGAAGATCCTTCGACGCTCATCTTCCCGTTCTCGGAGATCAATTGGGTCAAGGTCAACATCAACCGATTCCATGGGTTCACTGGAATCAGTTTTCATAGATGAACCAGAATCCTGATTTCCCCATCCTATCTCGCTCGTCGTTTGTTTATAAACTGAAATGAATCCCTTTGTAACTGCACATGCAACAATACATACACTATATTAGTACTCCCTCTTACAAGGGGTTGTATGAGCTAGTTAAACTGAACCAACCTGAATCACAATATGCATTTTGGTTTTAGGTGTGCAATGTTTTTTGTCATGTCAATTCAAAGCAAATGAAAGAAAGATCATAATAAAAGTATAAAACCCCAATACAAAACAAAACACAAGAATGAATCAAACTGGACAAAATCAAAGCAAATAAAGACATGATAGCTAACACCCAAAATCAAGTCCTCACTTTGACTTCAACACTTCTCAATGTAGATCTTTGGCAATTACTGTTTAACATTACATAAATGGACTATCTATAGCAAATTACTATTTCTATAATGCATATCAAAGAAAATCATTCAAGCAATTTTTCATGTTAGACATTAACATACTATATCAATCATAAATGGCCGACATTTTATAAAATTTGGCTCAAAAATATCAAAGCCAGGAGAGTATTTAATTGACTGCAAAAACATATTACATCAGTAAAAACATAGAGTAATCATGTACAGGGTTTTAAATTACGCACCGCAATCCCCTTACAGATCATTATCCACGGCCACAACAATCGCTAAATACCACCACCACAACAAACGGGGAAGAAGAAAAGACAGTTCGAAATGGCCTTCTGATCAGGGCTACTGGAACCAGAGAACAGGATCAATTTCATCATATATTTATTCACAAGAGTAATAATAATATGTTGATATCAAGTAGTAAAAATGTTGTGTGTAAGATAGATTAGTCGTAAGTCGTACCAGTGTTCTTTTTGCAAACTTCTTCGAACGTGTAAACGGCTGCGTTTTTGACGAATTTGGTGGTGAAAGAGACAATCTTTGAGCGCGTTTCACCGTCGGGCACATAGTGAACCGGGTTGAGGTGGCGAATGCCGACTTGTCCACAGGCGTTGCCGATCATTCCAACGGCAGCGGCTCCGTAGCCATAGGACGCTGTGCATGCTCGCTTGACTGGGTCAGGAGTGTTCCGTTTCAACAAATCGGTGCCGGAGGTGATGAAACCCCAAATCCGCATTTTCGCGTTTCCCCGCCGGGATGAAAAGTGGATTTTCAAAAGCGCCACTTGTATATTTGTCTTGGGAATGCTGTTGCTTCTCACTGTACTGCTGGGCCGTCGTTTGAGATACACGCGGTTTATGAACCAAACCCTCATTTTTTTCACCTAGCATTAAATTTTCAAAAAAAAACTTAGCATTAAAGGAGTATTTGAAAAAGCATTTTAAAAGCATTTTTCAGTTTTTCATTGGAAAAAACTAAAAAAAGTGTTTGCATCAACAACTTTTTGCTTAAATATAAATTCTCGAGTTAAAAGTTAAAAGTAAGATATGATATGCTTTTAAATGCTTCTTGTTATTTTAGTAAATAGTAGTTGAAACTTTCGGTTCCCTATCATTTCAGCCGAATTTTTCAAAAGATATTCTCAGTTTCATATTCTAACGATCATCACCACTTTACTACTGAGTAGAGTTTCGCGCTAAACATGTGATGCGCTAACATTAGATGTCTTCTTTTACGTGCAACCTTCCGATGCGGTTACGATAATCTCCAACAATGAGCTTCCAAGCTCTTTGCATCGTCAAACAATGTAAAATCCTCAATGCCAGATGTGATTACACCTCTGAATGAGATTTGCATCAACGGCAATGGTGGATAAAAAGATCGCAAAAATTTCAACCGATCACAAATCCCCGCTCGTAAACCAATTGTATGTCCCAGTTAGCGCAAATTATACCGTGGGATCGGCCCACCTTCCACATGGTGTGCCGATCCCACTTTTAGGAAAGTTACGTTTCTTTCCTTTTCCCACTTCCTTTGTCTCCAACTTTGTTATTTCCTTTTCCTTTGCTTTTCTTTTTTTTTCTTTTGTTCAATTCTTTTCTTTTTCCATCATATTAAAATACTAAAATTTTAATTGCAATCCTACTTTCTTTATCTTCATCTTAAATTATAATTGAATCTATTTTTTATTCTTTATCAATACATAATAATTCATCTAAAAAAAATTCTCTATCTTCATGTTCATAATTTTTTTTCTATAATACATTTCTTTATCTCTTTATAAAAAAAAATATATTTCTTATCTCTTTGATATGTTTTTAGTTTTTTTAAGACATAAAATTTCTTTTTCGATTTAAATTTCATAAAACGTGAATTATATTACGTTTTTCATATGTGTGAGTTATGTTCATAGCCAATTTATGGAATTACATGTGATATTATATGAAGTTACATCTTTTTATAGGCGAATTACATCTTGTTGTCCATGAGTTACATCTTCTTATACACGAGTTACATTTAGACTTGCCTCAACAAGCTATATTTTGCATACACCTAATTTAGATTTTTAGCATGAGTTACATGTTTTCATAACACGAGTTACATCACGAAATAAATCCATCCATTGAAACCAAAAAATAATATTTTTTGCAAACAAAAATGTTTTTTTTTGAAAAAAAATGATTTTGCGGCAAAAAAAATTAATATTTGTGGCAAAAAATATTATTTTTCTTTGAAACATTTTTATGACCTCAATACAAAAAACAAAACATACTAACTATTTACGTTAAAAAAAATTAAGCAATTAGACTTCATGTTTTCATTGTTTACATTTCATAGTATGTGAAGTTACATCTTCTTATGCGCAGGTTACATTTTTTTATGTGTGAGTTACATCTTCCTTTACACGAGTTACATTTGGACTTACCTTAACAAGTTACATTTTACATTGACCTAAGTTAGATTTTTCATCAATGTGAGTTACATTTTCTATAACATAAGTTACATCGCAACATAAAGCTCTACTATTGAAACAAAAAAAAAAATCATTTTTTTGCCAAACAAGGCAAAAAATGATTTCTTTAGCAAAAAAGTGATTTAAAAAAAAAATATTTTTTGGCAGAACATATTCACTATTTAAGTAAACACATGCTATTGAAACAAAAAAAACGAGTTTTTTGCAAGGGAAAAAAATGGCGGAAAAATGAATTTTTGGCAAAAAAACTGATTTTAAGGGAAAAAATTATATATGGTCTTAATATTAAAAACAAAACATATTCACTATTTACGTAAAGTAATTGAGCAATTAGACTCCTTGTTTCAAGGAAATCAATGTTTTATTTCTCATAGTTCGTATTAGACAAGTTACATTTGGACTTGCCTGCAGTTACATTTCTGATCAGCGTGAGTTACATTTCTTTACACGCGAGTTACATTACTCTTGTAACACCGTCCCCAAATGTATTTATCTTTAAGCGAATAATTTATTGAACCCTATGAAATTTTTAGTGAATTTACGAAGTTGTGAATTTGTATTAATTTTTTCGCGTGAATAGTAAAATGCACGTGGGGCCCACATTGGGAGTGGGGACCGCCCGATATTATCGGGGCCACATATTATATTGATCTTGGACTAGATAATATGTATATGGTGGTGGATATCCTAGTTGAGCCATGACAATGGCATAGGGTTGACCGGTTGGTCAAACGGGGCCAAATTATCAGTATCGACAATCTATGAGATAACAGCCCGAAAAGGGATTTCGGAGACTTCTTAATTAAAGTTGAGGAATGCATATTGATTCTAAGGTCCATTAAGAATTGGGAACAAGTGTTATATTTTATTTTACCCGATAAAATAAAATATACTTAAAACAGTCCGGAAAATACAACTTTCGGGACTGATTGTACACTTCTGGACAAAAAGGGTTGACCTCCCACATGGGTGGGGGCCAACCCACGAATTTAGCCACATTATTCAAGGGCTGAGTCGGCTGGTAGGAGAGGTGAGGTGGGAGAGGACTGATTTGAGATGTTTGGCATCAAAACAAATCATGATGGCCCTCCTCTCTTTCACTCATTGCCCAAAAGGAGACAAAGGAGCATTCCTACCCATCCCCCTCCTCACTAGTTCGGACAGCATCAAGAGAAAGGGAGAAAGAACCTCTACAACTTCATCTTCCATAGCAAAATTCGAGATGAGCTCAAACAAGGAAGTTGGGAGGAAGTTAAAGAAGGAAAAAGCTAGGAAAAAGTGTGAAAATTAAGGTAAAGACCTTATCATAACTTTTCCTTTGTTTTTCTTCTAGCATATAAGATATATATCATATGAAGACTTTTAGTATTGTTCTACATGATTTAAGTGTGGAATAATGGGTTGGAAAGTGATTCTAAGTACAAAAACGGACTTAGAAGCCAAATCGACCGGCTTGCCGGAAAATAACCTTTTATAGGTTATTTGTGTTGATATGGGTTTTGTGATGATAAAACCTTGTTAGGAACTTGATTTAAAGTATTTTTGAGCGTCTCCGGAGTTTCGTCGGAGTTGGTCAAAGTTCGTCGGAGTTGGTCAAAGTTCGCCGGAGTTGGTCAAAGTTCGTCGGAGTTGGTCAAAGTTCCATCGAGGAACGTAGAACGCGCTTAAGCTTAATTAAGGTGAGGATGACCGACTATGTTACTTATAATCTTTGGGTTAATTTCATGGGATTTCCTAAGTGAATACAAATGTGATGTGCATGGGTTGTTAATGGTAAATAATGCCTAAACAAAACTACTATTGATTAGAAGTATAGTATGCATGATATACAAATTTATGAATAAATTGTGTGTGTTTAGATGTTATGAATATGAATGTATGATGATTGTACCAACCATGAATTTCATTTGAGATAGTATACTTTGATACCATGAAGAGAAGCCATGAAGGTATAAAAGTGATACTTGATATTAAGGCCAATCATGCATGAAGAAAGAATTATATTGAAATAAATAAATAACTAGCATTGAAATATTAGTTGGAAATGTTAGTTGAGAAATGGATGAATTAGATCCTAAGAATTTGAATTATAAAGAATCGGTGATTATGAGCCGGGCTCAAGACCGATGTAGATAACGGTGATTATGAGCTGGGCTCTAGACCGTAGTAGATGACGGTGATTATGAGCTGGGCTCTAGACCGTAGTAGATGACGGTGATTATGAGCTGGGCTCTAGACCGTAGTAGATGACGGTGATTATGAGCGGGACTCTAGACCGTAGTAGATAACGGTGATTATGAGCTGGGATCTAGACCGTGGTAAATAATGATGAATTGATACTAAATGAACGGATTAACTAAAATGTAATAATGCTCTAGATTGGGGACCTTAGAGATTTAAACTTCGATTATACTTAGTATAGTTGTCATTGTACTTGTCAAATGCTTCCAAGTACTGACCTCCCCTTCACGGGGGAGGCCACCTCACAGTTTCAGGTAGAACTTGAAGGTTGCTACTATCAGCCGCTGTTTCGGGAAGTTTCTGAGAAGAAGACTTGGTTCGTGCTTCTTCCGTTCTTGTTTTGAAAACAATATGAATAATGCTCATGGATATTATTTTCTGAATATACATTTCGGGGGTTTGTATACCCATGTTTGCCAAGTGTGGCTTGAACACTTGTAATGTTGTTTCCGCTGTTTTAAATAAATGATTTACATTATGTTTGTTTATGGATGTACTATGTGTGAATGATGTTCATGACGCCTTGTATAGTATGGATGAGTTGGACTGCGGTTGACTATTCATACTGTACGGCGGGTTGTTGACGTGTCTGGCTAGGTCCGGGGCGTGACAATTTAAATGGTATCAGAGCCCTTAGTCCGTAAACATCATAATGAAGTTTCAAAATTTCTTTTTGAAAATGAATTTGAAAACCATGAGCATAATGTTTTGTACTTATATAACTTTTGGTACTTGAGTTGCAATGCCTCTAATTATTAAGATGGTACCCTTAACAATTGGTATGACGGTGATTTGAGCCAAAAGATGTCTTTAAGTACCTATCCGTCAATTGACATTCGATGCGAGTCTAATGACTCATTCTAATTTCTTTCAGAAATGGAACCCGTTGGAAGGATCACTAGAAGGAACCCGTTGGGCCATACCCATTGGGTCTCGGAACCAGGTCAGATAGACCCAATCCGTCTCACAAAAATCCAATTCTAATGTCTTAAATAAAAAACAGAACCTCTTACTACCGAGTACTTTTATGGCAACAATATGGCACATGAATTGTAATTACTTGTCTATAATTACTCAACCAAACACAACAATTGTGAGTTGATTTATAATTTGCAAGATACGTAATGTTAGAATAAAGAGTAAAATAAATGGCTTTGAAAACTGAACACGCTTTTTCTTGAATCCTCTGCGGTCTGCGGACTGTAGGGTCTCTAGGGATCCTTCTTCGGATTTATTAAACTAAATCATAATGTGGGCGGCAACTAATGTAATATGTATATTAGATTAATGTATATATATAAATAAATATTAACGGGTCGGAACCATATATACCATATCCGACCCATTAAATAACGGGTCCAGAACCGGGTCCGGGTAACGGAATTAAATGTAGACACATACCCGTTAAAAAAAGGCGGATCCGGGTCGCGTTTGGGTCTGGACCCGACCCATTGACAGGCCTAGTCCCGATTCCAACAATCAAACTATAATTTTAATTATTTTCATAATTTAACTTTAATGTTATTCGAATAACATTCGGATAAAATCGAATATATTCGAAATTTTTAATATACCAAACCAATCGAATGCGAATATAAATAAGATTCTAATATTAAACGAATATGAAAATTCGATAATTATATGAATACAAATAATATTGTAAAATATTCAGTTCGATTTGTGTACAATCCTACAATTGAGTATTGAATTCGTGATCTCCCATTAGGAAGAGTGATTTAGCGGTCAGCTGAAATGGTCCGCTTTCTCATATTACTACGTACATTATAAACTTGCAACTATAAAGGGTTTGCGATGCAATTTCTGAATATAAATTTTAATTATTAAAATTTGAATTAATTATTCATACGATGAATTTAAATTTACATTTTTTTTTTGACTGGAAAGAATTTAACTTTACATGTTATTATGTTAACAAAAAAATGTTACTTTCCAAATGTATGACTAATTTGTTATTCGCACGGTTTAAACATCAATTCTCTGAAATCCAGACGCATCTCCGGTTAACCCTCCCTGCGGTAATTGCGAACCGCACACAAGTCCGTTGTCTGCCGTGACACTGCGCTGTCTCCGTCAAATCCAGACGTATCTCCGGTTAGTGACGCGAGGTGGAGTGTCCTATCCGCAATTTCTTTCCAGGTCTGGCTTGTGCATGCTTCACAGAATATGGCAGAAGTACTTCGGTATCCATTTGCATTACATGGCTATGAAAAGGGTACCCCTTTACTGTACCCGAAAGACTCCCTCTCAAGCCTCAAAAGTAAAGTTGTGGTTAGTGATGGAAGTTCTCTCATTGCTTCAAGACCCAAAAAGATGCCATCTTTAAGAGTCACTGGCCTCGAAATGCCTGTTTCTAAGGGCTGGTTGGAGATTCTCAGAGTAAAATGTGTAATTAGGCGCAAAGAATCTAGCGTACAATCTAATACTGTCAGTGTTCAATTTGACTCATCCTGTGGAGTGAAGAACGCCCCTGCTCATAATGAAAAAGAAGGATCACCTGAAAATTTGCTTCCTTTCAGGAGCTCAGTGTTCAAAGAATTACATGTTAGGGCTGGGGGTGCTAATCTAAGTGGAAGTAAGGTGTATTACTTGGATGAAAGAAATGAAGACGTATTATCGAAAAGGATTTTGAAACTATGTCGGCTAAACAAGGTTAGGAGTGCATTAGCACTTTACAAATCAATGATATTTACAAGTATCAAGCCTAATTCACATGCTTGCAATTCCCTTCTTTCTTGCATCTTAAGGAATGGTAGTCTTGATGATGCTCTTGAGGTATTTGAATCCTTGAAGGAGGGTAAGATGACTACTGCTCACACTTATAGTTTAATTCTCAAGGCAGTTGCTGAAGACCGGGGGAGTGATGCTGCATTGGAATTGTTTGAGGAAATATGTAAAAATGACTGTGCTGCTAGCAACGGATTTGATGTCATTGTCTATAACACAATGATATCAGCTTTTGGGAAACTAAACAATTGGGTTAATGCTGAAAAGTTTTGGAGAATTTTGCAAAACAAAGGTCTTATAGGAACAACAGTGACGTACAGCGTACTAATATGCTTATTTGTCCGCTGCGGTAAGAATGAACTAGCTGTTGATGCATATAGCGAGATGGTTCAAAATGGATTAACGCCAGGAGTTGATGTAATGCAAGCAATGGTTGGAGCATGTATGAAGGAGGGAAACTTTGACATGGCATTTTCTATCTTTCAGAGTATGTTGAACAGTGGCCTGAAGCCAAATGCAAAAACATGCAATGCAGTGATTAACTTACTTGGGAAAGCAAGAAAACCCAAGCTTGCATTCAAGGTTTATGATCTCATGAAATTGTTAGGTCATGTGCCAGATTCATACACATGGAACTCACTTCTTGGTGCCCTGAACCACGTGAATCGACATGCTGATGCACTTCAATACTTTGAGAGAATCAGGAAACAGCAACCAGAAATCCTAAGCTTTCATATATACAATACAATTTTGATATCTTGCCAAAGACTTGGGTTGTGGGAAAAAGCAGTGGAACTACTATGGGCGATGGAGGCGTCTGGAGATTCTGTTTCAACATCCTCATATAATCTTGTAATTGGTGCTTGTGAAGTTGGAAGAATGCCAAAGATCGCATTGCGAGTTTACAAACACATGGTTGACCAGAATTGTTCTCCTGACCTATTCACTCTGCTGTCTGTGATGAGAAGTTGCATCTGGGGTTCCCTTTGGAATGAAGTTGAGGATATATTGAATGTAAGCCTTCACATGCTACCATATTATTCTGTCACTCTATGTTTTGCTAGCATTGATGTTAAGGTCACTTTTCTAACAAACTACCAATGTCTTTCTGTAAGTAAACATGTAGTAATTGAATCAATTTATTCATTAAGAATTAAGAAAATTAGTTCAATGCATCAGCCATCTAGTTTTGATATGCAGATACTAAACATTTTAGTTGCACTGCTTTTTCTTATTAACATTATCTTTTTTATATTATCTTATCTTATCTTTTTATCTTTCTTTCTTATCTTTTTTAGCTCCGATTTCATGTATCCATTCATGTTAGCCGACCCCAAACTCTTTTGGGACTAAGCCTTGGATGTTGTTGTTGTAGTGCTCTGCGCCAAATGGATTCTTGTACAATGCTGCGATTCAGGGGATGTGTCTGACAGGCAGGATTGATCTTGCTAGGAAGGTGTATATAAAGATGCATCAGAATGGTCTCAAAGCTGATGGTAAAACAAGGGCTCTATTGCTGCAGAACTTACCGAAAGATCTCAAGCGATAACAGGTACCTGATTGACAGTGGCAAATCAGTTCCTTATGCTGTTCACTGGCATCAATATTGTTCTGCCTATCTGTGACCAATAGGGTGAGTTGTGTTTAGGCACTATACAAGTAGGACCAAGAAAATGCAGGCGCATGACTTAGCTTAGTTAGAACTTAGAAGCATTCAGAAAAGGTCCTGTAAATTGTAAATTGACGATAAAATCTAAAATGTGTTGACAGTAAAAAACGTAGAAGGTGGATTTCCTCATTTATCAAAGGTTTTTCTCTTTTGAAATGGCTATCTCCTGACTTACAGTTTATGTTAACATAATAATTGCGTTCTGTTTGGTGTTTGCAAGAATTGGAACTAGTCAGATATCTTTTAGTCTTCTCTGGATCATCTCTCTGTCCTTTCTTCACACATGAATATGTAGCCTACAACCTTTTGGTGTCAAAACATATTTGTGAATCCCACATTCCCACCCGCATCCAAATTGGCTACTTCTTTTCTGAATACTGGTAATGCTATCTTAAACTAGACAAATGTAGAGAACTCTGATTGAGCAACAGTTAATGCAAAATAATGGAAAGTTTCTAAGTTTCTATGTATATTTATTAAAAGGGTTCACAGTTTGGCACCCTTTATTGTGGCCCATTTTCATTGTACTTTTTTACATTGTGCTTTTGTTGTTGTACATTGGAACTTTCCAGATAATACATGATTATTCCATTGTGTTATCCACCCCCTGCCATATTGCTTCACAATTTCACTATTTTTGTACCTATGGTTTGTATCGACTTCTTTAAAAATTTCCCTAAATAGGAGTAAAAACATAATACGTCTGTTTAGAGAAAATCCTTGGTTTTACTATTATTTAGGGATTTTTTGGGCTGCTCTTTTAGGCTTACATTCAAGAATGTCAGTTTTTATTCTTTCTTTTTACCGGCTTTGGTAGATTGAATTACCAGAACTGTCTTTATTTCTTTTCTTTTCTTTTTCTCATAATATGTTCTTTTTTAAATTCAAATGATTTAGAGAATGTGGAGAATGTGCATTCAAGTAGATGTACTGCTAGTCCGCTACATGATAATCAGTCTAATTTCATACCATTATACTACTATAATGAGTTTGTTACTTTGTTAGGAAAATGCCTAGCTAACTTTCTGTGTAAATTGATCCCAAAAAGAAAACTTTATGTGTAATTTCAATGCTGTATTTTGTTTACTGTAAAAGGTTGCAGGCAATGTATGTGCTCTCTATATGTGTCAAGTTACATGCCACAATAAGTTAAGTAAGGCTGGACCCTCTCTTTGAGCCAGTGAGGATTGTCAGAGGAGATCAGTGATTGCAGCCCATGAGTTTTCTATATCCACTATATGTCCTGAGGCTTGATGGATTTTTGTTATTTGCTTATTACCTGGCAATAGTAAATAAGCATGAGGATCATATTCATAGTTTGCTGTTGGAGAAAACCAACAATGAGCAACAGATATCTGCTGCAAGTTCTGTCAATTGTTCAGCTTCACAGTGTTATGGAAAATGAAAAGGTGATTGGAGGTATGGACATACTATAAAATATCTTGTTGTTTGACAAGCTCAACACTAATTAGAACTAATTAAAATATGCATGCATCTAGTCACGCATAAGTACATAAATTCCTATCTAGAACCACATATTTATATTGAATATCAACAACACAAACATTTAAGCATATTCTGTTTTCTTTAAAAAAAATTGATTTTCATTTTTTTACAATAGGCAATAACTTTAAAAATGCTCATATGCTAGTCTTTTAGTAGTTGCACTCCATGTTCTTTTACTTCGTGCATCTGCATACATAAAACATGTCCACCTTTTCTTTTTCTTCCAAATCAAACATTTTGTTGGAAGGAATGCATTCCGTTTTTGTAGCTGCATCCGTTGCAGTGATGTGATATATTCTTACAGGAAATTGGAGAAATTACTACAGTGATTGCCAGACACGAACACAGTGATTTAGTGTATTTGTGAAGCTCACATCATTGGTGAATAGCTGTAAAGCCAAAAACATACAAAGTATTAATAGGGTATCAAACCGGTTTTAAACCAGAACAGAAACGGTTTGGGACCAAAACTAGAGATGGCCCTAGTTACGAGTAACCATATTTGGGGACCGGGAACCCGCCAGTCAGAACAGGACCGGAACCAGGACCTGTCCACCCATAGTCTTCTCTCAGGATTGGCCTCTGCAAGCTCATCTTCAACATTCTGCTAGATTGTTCTCTGCACAGGCCTGGCTCCATTGCTTGGGCCAAAACCAAGATTCTCTAGGAGTTCGCCTCAGTGAGATGCAACTTCATTTTCTTATAGGTTGATCACTTCTTTAGTCGCTACAGCTGGAAAACAAAGAACCGCAGAAGTTGGAGACAAAAATACAGGTAGTCAATGGATGCTAGGGATGGAGTTGGTTTGGATTCCAGACTGACCAATTCTACCATTCTCTGTAACTGGGCTGGGAACAGGTACGGGCCCGGGTCAGTTTAATGCATCCTGCCCCCGGGTCAGTCCCCGACCAACTTTTACTCTCTAAAAAAACCAGGACTAGAACCAGAATCGGGAGGCGGGAGCTTGTTTGGGCCTTCATTGGAGGAACCAGAAGCAAGTTTGGCTTGGTTGCGACACCAGTCCTGGTTTGGAACAAAAAATACAGGTGCCCAAGCAGGTTAAAGCACCAACCAGTCCCGGTACAATTTCAAAACCAAGACCGGGTGCATGACTAATGATTGCCCAGTGCAACCATAAAATATCTGTATGTTGAGTGCATACTAATATGTTGTGCTCACAGCCAAGAAGCTGGAATACTTTGAATTCATCAACCCTATTGATGAGGGAGCTGTTTGCTCTTGCAGACTCCACTATTCGCTTTGTGGTTTCATAGGAAACCTTGTCTGGTAAGTTGTCGTCATCTTGCAACCTGGTTCTCAGGTCCCTAATGTCCTTATATATCACTAACTAGGAGTTAATAGTGATTGTTTCATGCCATGACTTCCTTCTCGCATGTTAAATTGTTGTTTCCTACCAATTTGTCCTCCACTATGTCATGCATCGCTTTCGATATTAATTGTTATACCAATTTATTCCATGGCTTTGATCATGGCTCTTTTGGTTCCAAGCTCTAATATCTCTCTCTTTCCAATTGAATAATTGATTGAGATTCATCCAATGTGTTTGGTTGAATATCACAGAAGAATGTTGTACGACTAATTTGTGCAATGCACCTCTATTACAATGTTTTTTTTCAATCGAACAAGTTTTTGCCCACAAAGATAAGAATTTATTCACGTCATTTTATGTCAATAAGAACAAAAAAATTGTCCGCATGAAGACGGTTTTTATGTATTTTTTGTTCTCACAAACATAAAAACACGCTTCAAATCTTATTTGTGTGAACTAGGGATGGACCCAACCGGTTTGGCCCGGCCCGGAACTGGCCTGGCCTGCCACTGTGTGGGCCCGGACCATCCCGGTTGGTGCTAACCGGGCCCGGGCTTTTACCCGGTTGGGGAGGGTTGGGCCGGGCTCGGGCCCTGTATTTGTTGAACCGGTCTGGACGGTTCTGGCCGGGCCTGGGCTTTTTTTTTTTGTTTTTTCAATTTTTTTGGTTTCTTGGTTAGGGCTGGGTGTTTTGGGGGGGGGGGGGGGGGGGGGGGGTTGGGGGGTTGGGGGGTTAATTAGAAAGCGAAAAAAAATTACCTTGACCCGGGCTCGGCCCGGCCTGGTTAGTGGTGGACTCGGGTCCGGGCCGGGTCGGGCCTAGGCCCGGGCGGGCCGGCGGTCCAAGAATGGTGGACCCGGGACCGGGCCGGGTCCGGGTCGGGCCTAGGCCCGGGCGGGCCGGCGGTCCAAGAATGGTGGACCCGGGACCGGCCCGGGTAGCCACTGGGTCCGGTCCGAGCCTCCGGTTTGGATTTTTTTTTTTTGGGTTTCCTAACCCCCCCCTCACCCCCCACCCTCCCAACCCCCCCCCCCCCAAACCCATCCTACCCATCAAGCCCAACCCAGGTGGAACCCCAAAATGAAAAAAAAATAAAAAAAATTCAATTTGGCCCGGGCCCGGGCTCGACCCGGACCCGAGAACCGGGCCGGTCCCGGTCCCGCACAGTAGCGGGCCGGGCCGGTCCACAGGCCGGGTGGCCCGACCCGAGTCCAAGCCTAGGCCCGGTTAGGCCCGGACCCGGTATCAACCTGGGACGGTTTCGGGCCCAACAATTTGAAAAAAAAGCCCGACCAGGCCTGGCTCGGGTCCATTACTAGTGTGAACTAATATTTTGTTCGTGTGAACTAAATATATTGCCAACTATGCTACCAAGCATTACCCCAATATACGTCCATAGTTGATAGCCTCGTCTGTAGTTCCTCAATAGGATTAAATAGTTTTTGCATGATTTGTTTTTAGAATTAAATCCGTCAAGAAATCAATTTTTTGGTATCATGCATGTTCCAAGTCAGGATAAAGGAGGAGGGTGTTGTGGTAAGCGCGTGATGGCCAACAGTATTACTTAGTCGCATCACATAACCTGAATCAAAATATGAATATCGCTACAGCTAGGTTGTCGCTCGTAAGCGACGTGTCGTCCCTCTGCTTGGGGGTGGTGTCAAATGAGCAAGGGCACGCTATAGTTCATAGGCTTGGGTGTGGTGATGAGAATGCTAAGGATGCTAGGACATCGCCCGAAAGCGGTGCACCACTCCAATGGTCGGGTATGATGTCAAATATGCAAGGGCATGGTGGGGTCGATGTGGTGTGAAGAAGAGAAGGTAGGGTGCTAGATTGCGTTTTGGGACATGGAATGTTGGCTTTCTTACGGGGAAGATCATCTGAGATAGCCGATGTTATGAAGAGGAGGAATATCAGCATAATGTGCTTGCAAGAAACTAAGTGGGTTGGAGAAAAAGCATGTGAGATTAATCCTAGATAGGCTTGGACTCGGGTCGGGCCACCCGGCCCGCTACTGTGCGGGACCGGGACCGGCCCGGTTCTCAGGTTCGAGTCGGGCCTAGGCCCGGGGGGTAGGGCGGGTCCGGGCTCGGGTCTCAATTTTGGTGAACCGGCCGGGTCGGGCCCGAGCTCGGGCCAAATTGATTTTTTTTTTTTTTTTTTTTTCATTTTTGGTGTTCCACCCGGGTTGGGCTTGATGGGTAGGATGGGTTTGGGAGGCTGGGGGGTGAGGGGGGTGGGTTAGGAAAGCAAAAAAAAAAAAATCCAAACCGGAGGCCCGGCCTGGCCCCGGACCGGACCCGGTGGCTACCCGGGCCGGTCCCGGGTCCACCATTCTTGAACCGCCGGCCCGCCCGGGCCTAGGCCCGACCCAGACCCGAGTCCGCCCCTAATCCTAGAGGTTTTAAGTTGTGGTATTCGGGGAGAGTGAGGAACAGAAATGGAGATGAGATCGCACATGTTTTTGTTGAGGGTGTGGTTGAAGTCCTTAGGAAAAAAGATCGCATCATGAGCATTAAGTTGATAGTAGGAGATGAGATCGTGTCCATGACTCCATGGTAAGAGTCTATGCACTACAAGTGAGATTAGATGCATCTAGGGATGGACTGGGCCGGGCCGAACCGATCCTGTACTGTTTGGGCCTGGACCGGACTGGGACCGGTTGGCTGGTTCCGGGCTTTTAGCCCGTTTGGGCGGGTCGGGCGGGCCGGGCTCGGGCTCGGGGCCGGTTCGATGTCTATTTTTTTTTTGCTTTCTTGTTATCCCCCGAGAAAAAATTGAAAAAAAAAAAGACTCGAGCTTGGCCCGGCCGAGTTAGGCCCGGACCCGGTATCAACCCGGGCCGGTTCCGGGCCCATGAATTTGCAAAAAAAGCCCGCCCGGCCCGGAACCTGGAACCGGACCGGCCTGGGTTCATCCCTAGATGCATCTATCCCTCGACAATTTTGGGAGGATATTGAGGAAGTGGTGCGACGAGTGTCAAGGGAAGAGAAGCTGGTCATAGGAGGTGACCTCAACGAGCATGTGGGCCCAAGTCATGAATATTTTGGGCAGGATGGGCTGAGATGGGCATCATCGATTGGACTCCATACTGGATAATGTCTTGAACCCCTAAACAGTAATACACCAGAATAATATACCTCAACAACATACTTTTTTTACCTCGTCATCTAAAAAATCAGCAATGCCAATAGTAGTTTGTAGGATTTAGAATAATTTTTAAGAACAAACGAATCCCTTGTAGAATAATTTTTAAGAACAAACGAATCCCTTGTAGAATAATTTTTAAGAACAAACGAATCCCTTGCACAGTTGCACTAGTGTTAATTATAAAAATAAAATATTACGTAGTACTACGTATAATCTTTGAGTATAGGGATAAATAAATTAAAAAAAAAAAAATAGCGGCATAAGCTATGGAGTACGGAGATTAAGCAATGAATGCAAAACTATAAGAAATGATACAGTTTCGTCAATAGGGGTTGCTACCGGCACCCTTAGTACTCCGTATTACTTTAGGTAACCACAACTAGACTAATTTTTTTAACTAAAGTTCTATTTGAACAGTACAGTTACTCCCTTAAAATTAGGAACAAACTCCATTACGCTGTCACTTTTTTTGAAAGGCATTACGCTACCACTTTTAGTAATTTTGTTTAATAGACTCAAAATGGATCCAATTTAAATTGAAATGCAAATAACATTGTTTTAAAAATGTTTTGAACAATTATTTTTCATAAAATGTTATTCTATTTTCACATGCTCTCCGATTTTGACAAAAATATATTGAATTGAATAACTTTTTATGATCTTTCATATGACACCTGTATTACATTTATAATTTTTTGATAAAAAATTCTTTTTTATATCTCCGTTTTATATATTTTTTAATCTTTTTTTTATCATTTCTTACCTTTCTATATTTCTTGTCTTTGTTTTCCTTGAACATGCCATAAAAATTTATTAAAAAACCACCGGGAAGGGCCCCAAAAGCCGTCGGTCGGACAGCGGTTCCGATCAGGAAGGCCTGACCGGAACACTACTATATATATATATATATATATATATATATATATATATATATATATATATATATATATATATATATATATATATATATATATATATATATATATAACGCTTCAATCGGGAAGGTCATCAAATGATCTTTTGAAGTTAACTGCGCTAAAAAATACATATAAAACGCAGTTAACTTCCAAAAATCATTTGACGACCTTCCGAATTGAGTTTTTAGCTGATTTTTTTGTGGATAAACTAGATTTGATGAACAACATGCCATAAAATTTGATCAAAAAACACCACCGAGAAAGGCCCTAAAAGCCGTCGACCAGACGGCGGTTCTAGTCCAGAATTCCGGACCTGAACATTTGTGTGTGTGTGTGTATGTGTGTGTGTGTGTGACCACCCAAATATCGTTGAACATTGTTTGCGGCAAATTTAATGAAACAAATAAAAAAGAAAAGATGAGATACAACTAGTGGGGTATATGAAGTGATTAATACTCCGTATGAGTTAAGATAAATAAATATATAGTTAGTCTGAAAGTCAAGAGCATTATTTTTTTAGATAATCTTCAAACTCATTGTCCTTTGTAAAAAAGATTGTAACAAAATTATAAGAATATAATAATGTGTTGCAAATATTTATAGAGTAATTGTACGATGATAGTTAGAATTTGTAATCATAATTATATTAAGATTTTGGATGTATTTTAAAAATATTCATTTTTTAAAAATAAAACAAAACAAAATTTAGAAAAAAAAAAAGAAACAAAATTTAAGGAAATATAAAAATTTATTTTAATTTAAAAAGCAATACAAGGAGTGAGTTTAAATTTGAAAGAGACAGTCAGTTTGGCGAACTACGTTCTACAAGCAAATTGAAAGAGGACAAATTGGTCCAACAATGAGAAAAAAAGGGTGTGCCTAGTAAACTTAGCGTCACACAGCATTACGGATTTCAATTTGTCAAAAAGTTTAGTTTATCAAAATTTCTTTTAGCCAAAGCTAATTGAATTGTATCAAGACTTTGTTCTCCGATAAACTTTAATTAAAATGTCAGTAAAGTGAAAGTTGTTCGGATTGTGAATCATAGAAAGTGCTTGTAATCTTTTTTTAACCCGGAAGACAAACCACCAAAATCAGTAGGCAAATGATGGGGAACATTTGACAGATTTTATTAATATAAAGTAGATTACAAAAATGAGAGGGGAACCAGACCAAAACCTCTCAGAAGAGGCATACCTCTTCAAAAAACCAAGCATGCAAAAAAACAGAACCAAAAATTGGGGGGCTAGATCTGACCTAATTTTACAAAAAGCAAACACATGACAAAACAAAGAAAAATAAAAAGGAGTTTCAGGGGGACCAAACCTTACCGGAGACTAATACAAGGAAAATAAAAAAGAAAACACTTAATTAAAACGAAGTGAAGGAATACCAAAAAGATCTATGAAATATGCTCGTTTAGCAGAAATAGGAAGAGAAGACGGGCTACTGAAGTTTCGAGTTGGGCCCGAATGGGCCAGCGCTAGATTGTGAGCAGTCCCGTTGCTATCCATGAGCGTATGACCAAAAGTGACTCTTTCCTTTTCCGCAATCTGTATAGTTTCCTGAAAAACAGATCTCCATCTACGCACCTCTTTATCTTCTAGGTAAGAAATCGCCAAAGCCGAATCAATCTCCAATCTGAAATCGCTAAGAGCATCTCCAATGCTATAATGTGCACAGTGCACATGTGGTATGAGAGAGATAGATACAAAATATTGATTTTATAACATTTCTTTCTCCTTCTTTCCACGGTCTTATGTGTTTTTGGTAAGTTTTTCCTCTGCAATGTCAACCACATTGTCTACCTCTAGACATTGTGCTTGACATTGTCAAGAAAAACTTACCAAAATGATGTAATATCCTTCAAATAAGGAGAGAGATATTCTATTTATTGTTTTTTAATTGGTTATTTCTCATGGCACATATGCCCTATTAACATTTTAGCATAGAAGATGTTCTAAAGCTCTTATCCACGGCGCACTTCAAAGCTACCAAAATCGCCTGAATCCCAGCATGAAGACGAGAAGAGGCATCCATTTCAAAGCTCAAGTGCTTGTAATCCTTGGATGTATAAAAAAATATAGAAAGTCCTTGTAATAATAATAAGGTAAAAACCAGGTAGCAATCATTCTCATCCTAAAATATTGTCATACTATGAGTGTACGACATTAATATTGTCATATCAAGATAATTGATAATGTCATTGTATGACAAAATAATTTAACATCATATGCAGTACTACTTTACTAAAAAAAAAACTACATACGTTTTTTTGCCTTATTTCAATAAAGCGGTCCAGTTCAACGGATCGTAAAATACTCTCATACGGGTTTAATTGTGGTCTCATCTAATATATCTAGGTGTGAAACATTAAAGAACTCCAATTCAGTATTGTTTATTTTTTTATGAAACATTGTTTGTTGATAAAATATAAATGATATTACCTCTGTTCCAAAGTGAATATATATATATATATATATATATATATATATATATATATATATATATATATATATATAGCTTAATTTTTGAATGTATTATAAATGGTATTTACAAAAAATGTTGACTTTGCAAATCAATTCGGACGGATGAAGTATATATAGCTTAATTATTGAATGCTTTATACTCCGTATTACAAGTACAAATTATGCATGTGAAATAATTACTGGTAAAATGACATGAGTACTATCGAAACTATATATATTAGGCTATTAGCACATCTTATATATTTCATAAGGGTAAAATTTTATCACTAATTGAGTCATGCAGGCAATTATCATCTCCACTAGAATTACGTTATTTAATTAGAAACAACAACATCCATTCTAAAAGATTTTGAGGTCAATATTTTACTTAGAGCCCGTTTGGTAATAGTCAAATCGATTATATTAGCTGATTCTGCAGAAATTAATGAAATTCTGGCTAATGTGACTGTATTGGCTGATTTTGATGATTTGTAAAAAATAATAATTTAAAATACATTTTATTAATAAAATAAAGAAAAAATTCTATGAAAAATAGTTAAAATAGCCTTCTACAGTAATTTCAGCGAATAGAGCCAGAAAAATAACTCCAACCTTACCTTTTCTTATTATTACATAATTCAGTCCGTAAAACTAAAGGTTATGTGTTTGGTGAAAAAATGGCTCCTGAAAAGCTAAAAATCATGGCTATCAAACGGGCACTTAATCACCAAGTTCTATGTATTACATCAACATGCTCTCATTCACTAAATAAAATTACAGAGCATATACGCTTGCGAGTAACTCGGCCATGATTAAATATGAAAGATTAAGGGTATGTTTAGCATAACTAGCTGAAAAGATACACTTGTCGAAAGATCTTAAAAAGAAAAAGGTAGTAGTTGTTTGATAATAAGCTGATTGTTTTGATTTAGCCATGTTTGATATAAAAGATGTTGAGACTAATTAATGTTAGAAGCTACAAACCTATCTAAGATGATACCACTGTAGCATCTCAAAGAAGATTTTTTATTTTTATAAAAGCTCTTAAAAATCGGCATGTCGAACATACAACTATAAACCCTTAAAAAAATTTAAATAGTACAAAAGTTAGAAGATAGAGACTTCTGCTTGCTAAATATAGCCTAAAAATAAAGTTATATCATTATGAAATTAAAAAAGAACTTATAGATTTTATTTACATAAACAAATTTTGAGATTTAATAATTCATCTTCCCAAACAACAGACTCCAATTACGATTTTTTTAGACTTCTACTTTGTATTATTTAATTTTTAGGTGTTTTCCTTATAAAAACCAATTGATATGTGTATCTGTCACGCTACGTGTATCTGCTTTTTTTTAAAATGATTATCACAAAATTATAGAAACTTTTAATAAATTACATATATGAGACGAGTATCTCAGAGTATCTCATATGATAACGTTTTTTATACGTCATACGTGGATACTCTACTTCACTCAAGTATTCATGTTAATACGTGTTGAGGTTATACTTTCTGCGTACTAAGCTGAACTTCTGGTGCGTACGAGTATAAGGCATACCATCATTGGATCGACTAAGTCACTGTGACTTACATACTTTCAAAAATCCAGAGGTTCGGGATGTGGGGTAGTGGGGACTCCCGGAGATTACACCTTCTTTGATAAGTAAACACCGCCACATGATCATAATAAAATATTCCAGAAATGTATCCACCCCTACACCAGCTAATTATTGCCGCTTCCTACCAACAAATTGAGCGATAGACTGCTGGATCCAGAACGAAATCCTCGGAATTGTAAAAGTCCCGACACAGGTAATGGGTACGATTCTTTTCATATTGTGATTGGACTACCCAATTTTTATACTGACCATGGTCACCGACACTTGATTTCTTTCAAAAATCTGCCCAAAAAAGAAACTGCCCAAGAAACTGTTTGGACATGCGATAATTTGACCAGCACCGCAACCCAACCGTTCTGGTTACAATTGAACTATATTTGGGACTGGGCCAGCTCGTGCAAAAATTCTAACATTTATGAGTTATCGATTTTATAAAGCATGAAACAACATTCGTGGATAGGAGAAATTCAAGTATATTATATAGAAATCACTCAAATAGGCAGAGAATGTAGTATCCATCAAAACAGAGTATGGCTTTAACTTAGACAGCAACAAAGACAAACTCCTCCACTATGAGGGGAGATGAAACTGGGAGTAAAATGGGTGAAAAGAAAATAAAGAATATCAGCTAATGAGCCATAACATATACGTAGTAGTAGTATAAGCAGCGTGTGCACCATCTAAGCAATGGCAGGCATGTCCTTGAGCCAAGCATCCAATGGCTTACCTATTGAGTAGACGATGAAGCCGATCTCTCTCAGCTTCTCTGCATTGACAACATTCCTACCATCAAAAACAAAAGCAGGTTTTTGCATATTCTCGTATATCCTTGTGTAGTCAAGAGTCTTGAACTCATCCCACTCGGTAAGAATGCAGAGGGCATGGGCGTCTTTAGTTGCCTCATAGGCATCCCAAACTACAGAAACCTTTTTCACTGTGGATGGGCTCATCGGCTGGAGATGAAGGGGATGATCCCAATCAAACTTGTTCATGGAGAGGTCTCTCTGGATCTGATCTTCAACCACCTGAGGGTCATAAATGCTCAACACAGCATTGTCGCCCAAAAGTCCCTTACAAACATCAATTGCAGGGGTCTCTCGGGTATCACCGGTATCCTTCTTGAAAGCAAACCCAAGAATAGCGACTTTCTTGTTCGACACGGTGTTGAACATAGATGAGACGACACGGTTCACGAAACGGCTCTTCTGGTAGTCATTGATCTTGATTACTTGCTTCCAGTATTCAGCCACCTCAGGAAGGCCATTGCATTCGCAAATGTAAACAAGGTTCAGAATGTCCTTCTGGAAGCAAGAACCACCAAATCCAACACTAGCATTCAAGAATTTGGAACCAATCCTGGTGTCCTTGCCCACTGCATATGAGACCTCAGTCACATCTGCCCCAGTGGCTTCACACAGAGCTGACATAGCATTAACAGAAGATATTCTTTGTGCCAGGAATGCATTGGCAGCCAGTTTTGATAGCTCAGCAGACCATAAATTGGTAGTTAGGATGCAATCTTCAGGGACCCAATGGGCATAGACATCCTTGAGTGCCTGGACTGCCTTATTTCCTTCTGGGGTCTCCCGACCACCAATGAGTACCCTGTCGGGATTGAAAAGGTCCTTGATAGCAGTTCCCTCTGCTAGAAATTCGGGGTTTGAGAGGATCTGGAAGTTAATTCCCTTGCTGTTGTGGGTCAAAATCTTTTCAATAGCCTCAGCAGTTTTGACAGGAACGGTTGATTTCTCAACAACTATTTTGTCAGACTTTGAAACATCAGCAATCATGCGAGCAGCACTCTCCCAGTAAGTCAAATCTGCAGCTTTGCCAGCTCCGAGTCCTCGGGTCTTGGTAGGAGTATTGACAGAAACAAAGACTATATCAGCCTCCCTCACGTGTTTCTCCACATCCGTGCTGAAGAAGAGGTTCCTCCCACGGCACTCCTTCACTACTTCATCAAGGCCTGGCTCATAGATGGGGAGCTGGTCGCTGTTCCATGCATTGATCCGAGGCACAGATATATCAACAACAGCCACTTCAATGTTTGGGCACTTGAGTGCGATCACAGCCATAGTGGGGCCTCCGACATATCCAGCACCAATACAGCAAATCTTCACCATTTTTGTTCTGCAAATTCAAATCTCATATTCCGCAACATGATTGAAATACAGAAATAAAAGTCTACAAATTCATTAATTTTGTAAACCGGCTGCTGCAATCGATCTAGAGATCAGATTCTAAAGAACAACACTTGCATGGTTCCATAGAAAAATAATTATAAACATATATCAACTAGATCTGCTATTGTTGTTCGTCTGCTATTGTACCCAGAGATCTAATTACCCTTATCCATTAGAATAAATCTATCTCCCAATGAAGAACAATAAATGTCAATTTTTTATCACTATAAGGTAAGATGTAGAATAAAGAATTAGCCATATACTCCGTATCTCTAATCTCTATATATATAATCTGCAGGATTTCGGCTCTCCTCCGTACGAAGGCAACACTGCCAGCGTATTGCTCGGTCATTACATTACAGCTTATTACAACTCCTTTATTTATATAAAAAGAACAGATAAAGAACGAACCTCAACAATGCTTGATCTATTCACCGCTGATAAGATAATAAAAAGGATATGTAAGAACAAACAAAACAAGATGCGATGAAATAAGAATACATTTAGCGATAATCGACTGACCTGAGGATATTAGACGACGAACGGCGTGGTGTAGAGTGCGGCCGATCTAAGGGGAAGAGGAGATGGAAACGGTAAAGAGAGAGATGGTAGATCGGAGAGGTAAAGAAATGAAGATGGTGGGCAGAGCTGGGAAGGCGGGGAGGTCCTTAAATAGTCGTTGCGGATCTTAGATCTATTGCCCTCCTTGTCTCTAATCCACCAAAAGGGAGCTTTCAGACTTTGCTTGTGAAACGAGAAAAATTCCACCTCAATCTAATAATGACGCAAAAAAACTCCTTTGCGTAAATTGGGGACTGTATTCAACCATTAATATTGTAGACAGTTTTTTACATAACATATTTCCAACATTTTACTCATTTGGTCTACAAAAAAACACATTTTACTCATGAATTTATTTTGAGTAACTCTTGGGTAATCATTTATAGGAACCTCTTTAAAAAAATATCAGATCTAAGATCCCAATGGCTTTTTAAGGAACATCTTTAAACAAATGTACATAGTATTAAACGAATCAAACTAAATGAAATCAAACACATTACACATTCACACTAAACCTTTTACTTGATCATATCAGTTTTTTTGAACTTAAAAGAACGGCTTTTATATAAATATCGAGAAATCACACAAAACAACCTCCAGACAGTTATGCCAGAGCCGATCGTAAGTTCTAGGAATAGACATAGAATCAGTCACCTCATACAAAGTAACCTGATTCGCTAGACACAAAACATACAAACTTAAATCTAAAACAATCGGAACTGAAATAGTGTCTATCAATACTTCAAAAATCCAAATATTCAAACCAAATTTACTCGAAGTAAAATAAAAATAAATACTACTCTCACCGTCCCGCTAACAATGAGACAAGAGGGAGTGACACGCAAATTAATAAAGAAGTGAACTATGTGGTTGATATTGAATTGATAAAGTAAGAATAAAGTAAGAATGATTTAGAGTCATACAAATTTTAACAAATTTGGAATAGGACAATCTTAGTGGGACGGACCGATAAGGTAAAATGGGACAATCATAACGGGACGGAGGTAGTACTAAAGAAAAAATAGAATTGAAATAAAGTTTTTGTACCAAACTCTTCCTGACACGGAGGTGATTCTGGAGGATGACGCGCTCTACCATTATCTACGCAGTCCAAAACAAAGTAGCCAGAAATCCCTGACTAGACGAAGCAGGTCGGGACACCCAAACAGACCATTCCCTACTACATCATAAGAATTCAGTAAACATCTTTACCCTACTAGATCATAAGAATTCAATCAAAATGAAAACATTCTTACTGTAATGGAAAACCCTTCGTGTATGCTTGTTAGACATAATTCATTAACTTCAATCTAATAAATTGTTTAAAAATGTACTCATCATATAAGTCCTTAGTTTTAACTTGGTATGACATTTTGTAGAAGATACTTTAGAAGCTAAGATGAGTAACTGTTGAAAGAAAGTTTTTTTTTATATTATTTAGTTATAATAACTTATTAAACACAACAAGAATACATGAGTATTTGCAAAAACTTAAAAACATGTTTTTCTAGTTTGATTTGAAAAGTTGAAATATGGTGTTCTCACGTAAATGTTTCTAATTCAATTAAACAATTAAATGTTAAAATCTAAAAATGTGTTGAGAGGTGCTTTAAACTAATTTTCAATTTTTTATGTTATACAAAATACTTTTTTACCACACTATCAACTTCCACTTTTCCAAAAGATTTTTTCCCCAATTAATACCAATTTTTACTACAACGCACTTTCTCTAAAATCACCTTTTATAGTACAAGCAATAAAAAATACTCCCTTCATGAATCAATATAATCAACTTTTTTTTTCATTGTAATATATTCTTTTTAGAAACTTTTTAATTAGTACAAGTACTTGTCACTTAAAGTTCAAAATATATCTTTTTAACTACGATTCTGAAACTTACTATCATGTTTTGACATTACCAAATTTTAAAAATAGTACTCCCTCCGTCTTGGATAGAACTTGACGTTTGCTTTTAGCACAGAATTTTAGGAGCTTAATTAATAGAAAAATAAGTCTTGCATGTCCTTTGACTTTTGGGGAAATTAATGTTATCCACTCAAATACGTACTATAAAAAGTGGGTGGGTAGTGAAAGGTAGTTAGGACATTAAATATAAAAGGATTTGCCTAAAAAGGAAACGTAAATAAGTAAATGGGACGTCCCAAAAAAGAAAGTGTAATGATTTAAATGGGACGAAAGGACCGGTATACTGCAATATGTGACAATATTTTTCAAGCTTGACAGTAATGACTCTTATTTAGAGAATAAAAACATAATACTCATTGATGGGATATTAGGGTCCAACCCAGTATACCGACCCACAATATTCCTCGGACCCAAGAGCATGGGAAAAGCTCAAGGAGAAACAGGTGGCCCCAAACGGGTGTTCGGTGGCTTAAGAGAGACTTCCGTTCGGCACATTCCGAGCGGAGGGTAATTAACACTTGGATAATTAGTTCTCTTCCGTATCATTAGCTTAGCGGATTTTAATACCGATCGGGGGTTCGCCCAAGTGGAAGGCCGCATTTAATGCTGGAGTATGGAGGTTTTAAGTGGGAGCATGGGTGCACAAGTGGCTTGGAAAACAGCCAATCATGATATATCACCCCATACCCCTCACCTACCCCAACTAGTATAAATAGCAGCATTTATTCCGTCGTAAAGGGTTAGCATTTGTTTACTCACTAGCTTATATTGCATTATAGCTCTTGTATTAGGCATTGGACTGTAACTGCCGTTCGACACTTCCTTGTAATTGTAATTAATGCGTTAATACAAGCAAGGCTATTTGAATGAATCAATCAGTTTTATATTTCTTTATACACTTTACTGTAGCAACCATACCCTAGATCCAAGGTTGGTGTTGGGCCTTCAGGTCATTCGGGACTTAAACTCAACATTGGCGTCATCTGTGGGAAACTGAGCAAAAAGTTTCCAAGCAATCTACTGATCTAAGCAAATCTTCATACATCAAAATGGTTAGGATCACGTCTGAGAACACTCATGGTACTTCCAGGGATCAGGAGGGCAGCAGGTCCTCTAGAACCTAGAGAACAGAGAGCCGTACTACTAGCGAGCAAAACCAGGGATATGACTGGGATTTCACTCACCTGATCCCCGAGGCTGCAAGGAGAGATCCACGGCTCATGAGGGGAATGGCGAGGCTATGCGCCGGATGGCTGAAGCACATGATGAAGGGTACTCCACGTACACCGAAGATACCGAATACACACACCCCTCGCCAATTCACAGCATGCAGATTCTAGATGAAACTGAGGACACAGAATCAACCAGAGCCTCGGTCCATTCGCGAATGGTACATGGGAGCCACAAACGGGTGCACACGCCAAGATACCAACAACGTACTCCTTTTCGGCAAACCCAGTTCACTCACAGAAACGAAGCCTAGTTCAAGGAACGAACCCCAGTGATAAATCCGGTGGGTTAACGTTTCCATTATGAAGAAAGAGATGGAGATTGCTTCATCAGGAGACGCCAAGGTGCGACCATACCCCAAACAGAAATATAAATTGTGGGCGAGAGTACATTTCACCACTTAAAGGACCACATGTACAATAATTTGGACAATTGAGGGGTGACATTTACAATCTCAGAAATACAGGTTTGATATTTTAATTTCGTGGATAACTGAGGGACCATATATACGATTTTCCCAATTTAAAATATATAAATGTAAAATATGGAAAAATTTATTTAAATTTCAAAATTCAAAACTTTGTAATATATAGCATATTATAAATATATAAAGAATATAAATATATAAATAAAGAGAGCACAAAAAGGTCAATATAGAAACATTAAAGTATAAATGGAAGCACAAATTAAATACACATTCAAAGTCAAAAAATAAAAACCTAGATTTTTAAAATTAAGAAAGTGAAAAAATAAAAAATATTTTTTCTAAACATTGAAAAATGAAAAGCTAATCATCCGAATTAAATTATCAAATCTTTTTAAAAATAGTTAAAAATCAATACACAATCATGAACTTGCAGAGGAACCTGAAAGTAAGTATTTATCAAAAAATATAAAAAAATATGAAATGTAATACTTTTTTTATTTTAAAACACGATACGTTTTTAGATTTAGTTAATTTTATACATTCAAATTCTAATTTTGAGTTTTTTTAAAATATTTTCTACATTTTTGTAAAACAATTGAGTGGATGACTGAGATGATTGAAGAAAAGCGAGCATAGTTCATAGTCCATCCGCCCCATTCTAAGGTTTCCAAATTCCTTTTTTGAATGTCCCATATAAAAGTTCTTATTTTTATTTTAGGAAACAATTAGCACTCTTAAGTGATCGTTTAATCATCAAATACAAAAAATAATACTCCCTCCGTCCCGAAATAATCGTCCTGTTTTGACCTTCACACAGATTAAGAAAACAAAGTTGACTTCACACCGTAGCGACACTGTTTGACACTGTAGCGACACTGTTTGGCACTGTTTTGCACCATTTGACATTGTTTTGTATAGATTTGTTTACCAAATAAGGAAAGGGGACAATTATTTCGGGACGGACCGAAAAGGAAAGCAGGACAATTATTTCGGGATGGAGGGAGTATATCAGTAACATCACACATATCATCAATGACTTCATTACACTATATAACATCAAAATTATTTAACAAAATGTACTCGATGTATCTAATCTATTGTCTAAATAAATGTGTCATTTTGCAATGTGAAACTTTTACCGAGACAGAGGTAGTATTATTTATAGAATACATGAATGTAGTTTCTATTTAAAAGTGACCCGCTACAACATGTTATACCAGTCATGGACCATTATTGGCGGATAAATCATCTAGTTGGGGTTATATAAAAATAATCAATGGATGTGATTACTGTGAACAGATCAAAATTGAATTACTAATATAACATCTACTATTAATGGTATAGTTATATTAAAGGAATAAATGAGGAATAATAAATTGAGAATATGTATGTGTACTACAAAATAATAGATGAATATTAGAGAATTTGGAAGTGTAGGAAAATATGAATAGAATGTAATATTAATTTCAAACACTTTTCAAACCTTGAAACTAATTGAAAACGATAAAGGATATTTTTGTTTTGTGTTTATCATATTTGAAAAGCTAAAATATTTAGAATGACTAGGAAATTAAATTTATCACGCTACTCCCTCTGTCCCATAAAATAGTTTTCATTAGGATTTGGATCGGAGTTTAAGAAAGTGAAAACAAAATGGAAATGTATGATTGTGGTTGAGTAAGAAAGAACTAAATGAATGATAGTCACACAAAACTTTCTAAAAAAGGAAATGAGAACTATTTTTTGGGACAGCCTAAAAAGGAAACCGGAAACTATTTACGGGACATAGGGAGTATTTTTTTGTGTGTAGACTGACCAGATCCTTATTCAAAATTAATCTTTAATCATTTATTAATAAAACCAAATGTTTGTATGGAATAATCTGCAGACTCTGTAGGTAAGTGTGAACTTTGGCTGAACTAAATTAAGAAAAACGTTAAACCAATTAGGTATACCAAACTAATATGAGGAGATTTTTAGAATTCTATCATCGTACCATAACGGTAATGAATCAATGCACTTCCATTCTTCTCCAACATAATCTCAAAATTTTAATGGTCCAAACATGCGAAGCATTTTAAAAAATAATCCAACGCTCCAAAACGAAGCCCATTGGAAACTAGCCGTTACATTATCTGGCGTAAAATCTTCCCACATCTCTTCTACTCCGCGCGATCTCATGAAACCTAACCCTAATAATCAGTCATCAAAAGCATAATCACTCACTAGCGTCTAGCAGATTATCTGTTCGTTCATCTTCCTCTAATCTGCAAGTTTTTTGGAACAGAAATTGCGCTGAATTGGATGGATCCGAACAGCAAGTCCATCGAAGTAAAAACCCACAAAATGAAGAGTTCAGAAAATTCCGATCCTAATATCGGTACTGACGGTCTAAAGTTGTCAAAATCTCCTTCCATCACAAAATCACCTGCGAAGATTAAAAAATCGGTTTCTAAAGATCACCGCCTGAACCCCGCTCCAGTGATTTCGCCTTCACCTCAGAAGAAGATTCGGCAGAGGAGGTTTGTGGTGGTCAAGCGGAACACCAAGAGAGATATCTCAAAGCCTTTGACAGCATCCTCATTTGAGTGTAAGTGCAACAGAGGCGGTGGGCAGAAGTGCTTGTGTCTTGCTTATGAAAGTCTCAGGGCTTCTCAGGAGGTATTTTTCAATAATGGCAGTGGAATTGATTGTGATGAAAGCTTCCCTGAGGATTTGAAGATACTCCGTGACGCTGAGGTTAGGAGGGATGAAGGTAAAGAGAAGGACGAAAATTTGAAGATACTCTGTGAAACTGAGATTCAAAGGGATGAAGATAAAGAGAAGGACGAAAATTTGAGGATACTCTGTGAAGCTGAGATTAGGAGAGATGAAGGTAAAGAGAAGGAAGAAAATCACGAAATTAGAGACGTGGGAGGTTCTGAAGGCTGTGGGGGAATTTCAGTTAAAACGGACTGTTCTTCTCCTATGACTTACATGAATAAACTTCAGTCGATTGAGCAAGAGGTGTTTGCTGAAATGGGTGCGTCAACTATCAAAAGAACGAGGGACAGATTGCTGGAAGAGGCTAGAGAAAATGTACCTGAACCAGGTTCGGGAAGAGTGAAGCACTTGGTGAAGGCGTTCGAGAAGCTTCTTTCAATTCGGAAGTCAAAGGATACAGAAGATGCTGAAGAAGATGAGACGAGCAAAGGGTTGAAATGGGCATTGCCAGGTTTACCCCCTCCGAATCCTCACGAGGCCCATGCCTCTTCATCTTCATTCTGTCCATCTGAGTATTTCCTCACTTCCGAGAGCTTAGGCTTAGCACCACGCCTGGCTTCTTCATTTAGCAGCCAAGGAAGGTTGGTGAACAGATACTTAGTTGAAATGCGTATAGAAAGCTCCATTAAGTTTTTTTTCGAACCTAATTTGTCTCTTCTGTCTCTTTCATGCTTTAGCATTTCGAGCAGGACTTCAGATGGTGGAAGAATGATCAGAAGAAAAGTAAAGTTTGCAGATTTCATTTCATGTGTGTGAGATTAATAGTTCATTTGTGTAAACTGATATATGCACTGTGAATTCAACAGAGTGCCGAATCCTCTAGGACTCATGCTAGAAGGCAGTGTAAGAGAGGGAAACTTAAAACAGTAACCTCCCAGAAACCCTTTAAACTCAGAACTGAGGTTTGTATCACTCTGTATTCTATTGGTATCCGAGTTGTGATGGTGTAGTTTGGGGTATTTACCGATGGACAAAAAACATCAGATTTTATATTCATTTCATCAGTAGTCTGCTTTTATCAAATAAAGATCCCTTAAAATATTGGCTATCGGGTATTTTCTGCAGGAAAGGGGGAAGTATAAAGAAGAAGAGTTTTTCAAGAAAGTAAAAGAAATTACGGAAGAAGAAGAGAAGCTGCGCATACCAATTGCACAAGGTCTTCCATGGACAACAGATGAGCCAGAGGTATATTTAAAACTTAATTAGGGATGATGTTATGTGAAAGAGTTATTTGGTTGGGCAAAACTTATAGTTGAACATAAATAATCTCTTGGTGTTCAAGGATACTTTATTAGTAACCCGTAACTTCCTTTTTAATTTGTGGTAAATTATGGTTGTCATAGATCGCGATTTATAATTACGGTGACAACTCTTGTACCCATTTAAAAAATGGGATACCGTACCTATCATTCAGTTGAGTGGTCCACATCATTATATCATTTTTAATTTAGATTTAAATAATTCAACTGCAACACTCTCATTGGATCCATGTGGACAAAGGTATGGTACCTCATGGGTACCATAGAAACTACCTATAATTATATACAGAGTATATTTGAAACTCATTTGTTCCTTTAACTAAATTTATCCTATGTAATTTGTTCATCTCTTTTTGGTAATTTGTGGACAATTATATGAAAAACAGCTGCTTTAAATCAAAGTGGATTCCTTTTTTGGAACAAAAATGTGTTTGAAACATAACTTGTTTATGGGGGCCAGAGGTAGTATTTGGCATTTCTTTTAAGCTAGCCGAGTACCTGATGTCTAGTCCGGACACAAATATGAAATACTTGATGAATCATTGAGGTTTATCTTTTCAGCGTTTGATAAAGCCCCAGGTCAAAGAAAACACAAGGCCTATAGATTTGGTGTTGCATAGTGATATCAGGGCTGTTGAGCGGGCTGAATTCGACTATCAGGTAAAACTGGTTCAATTTTCACTGGAGGAACTTTGGTTATTCACTCATTAGGTTTTATTTTTTTGAAAGTAAAGTTGCTGCAATATCATTACTCTAAACAGTCATTATTAGCCAAAAGGCTATTAATACAATCTGTTGGCTGTGTAAATAAAATGACAACCTGGCATAGATACTTTTGCTCTAATTAGAGTATGAGCAACGCGATTCGCTGCTCATTTACAATGGCTTAACTCAACACTTGTGCTGTTGTTCATCATATGCGTAATGTCCTCAACAATAACATCAAACTAAGACGTCCCTGTGTCTCCTTGGAGACCCGAAACAACTATAGCTGCATCTGTCTCAATCTTCACTTTCGTCCAGCCACTTCCCAATGCCCATGCCATCGCCTCACGCACCCATCCGCTTCAGTTTCTCTCACTGAAGCTGCATACACTACCTCACCCCCTGCTTCTAATTTTCGCCGTCTCCATCACGGGCTACCCAGCTCCATACCCGAACCCCCCCTTCCAGATTTACAGCCGCATCAGTGTTGATTTTAATCAACCCTTCCGCCGGCTTTTGCCATCTACTCGTTGACTCCTTAACCTTCTCTGCTAAACTGCCACGTCATTGTTGTGCTGCACGCCAACCCTTTAGGCTTTAACATGGCAGCCCCTCCCAGACTTACTCCTCCGCTAGAGAAAGTTTCATTTTTCCTAACAAGATTATTCCGCTGCTTCCAGATACCCCATAGATTATAAAGCTGCACAAATCCTCCTCGGTCAAGCTGTCAGAACAAGACTTCATCCAACTCTTAAAATCACTCCTTGCGTTCTGAAATCTGCTCCCCATTCTAGACCACACTTGTTGTGCTCTGACACTATCTTGAAAAAGACGTTTAGCTGATTCATCTTCTGATTCACATACTTTACATGTTGCCACAATTTCCACCCTTCGTTGCCTTAGCTTATCTGCAGTAGGAAGAGCTCCCGCTATCAATTGCCAAAAAAATGCTTAACCTTGGGCAGGATATGAAGCTACCAAACCCGCGTCCACCCCCTCCACTCCCTGCAGAGACCTCCCCAACTAACCTTCTGTAGCAACTTTTAAGAACTGACCCTCTGCTCATCAACCCAAAATACCCCATCTGCCACTTCTCTTCTACTCAGGGGAATACTAAGGATCCTTCTGCAATCATACTCAGGGGGTTTCTAATCCTGCTCGTATTCCATTCCTTCCCAGATTCTGCCAATAGCGAGGCTATGTGCATATCTTTAATACCCTCAGGACTCATGGACATAATCCTCCCCGAACCTGGCCCCAGCAACCAAGCATTGCCCCAGACTCCTACTGTCCTTCCATTCCCTACCCGACTTCGAGTTCCAGCAACTCTAACCTGTTGGGCTGCCATAATACTCCACCACACAAAAGAAGAATTATTTGTAAGTTTAGCTGTCATGAAAAGAAGCATTTGGAAAATATGGTGCTTTAAATACTCTGCTAACTAAAGATTCAGGATCAGTCACCAATTTCCATGCCTGTTTGACTGTTTCCTAACATGGCCACGTTAAATTCTCTTAACCTTCAAAAACCCAAGCCCCCTTGTTCTTTAGGAATGCATAGATCCTGCCACTTTTTCCAACGAATACCCTTACCTAATAAATCATAAATTTCTCAATCCTCGCAAAGGTTACCTGGCAAATGAAAGACATTCATGGCATACGTTGGCATTGCTTGAATGACTCTGTATTGAGTAACACCTCTCTTTCTGCTTTAGATAGAGACCAATTATTCTAGCTTTGCAATCTTTTCAAGATTCTCTCTTTCAAAAAATCTAGAATCTCCTTATTTTTCCGCCCTATAAGAGACGGTAATCCAAGATATTTCATATGTTTCTCTCGGAGACTGACCTGCAGCTCCCTTGTCATTAAATCTCTTGTATCAGCATCAACATTGCCACTGAAAAATATATCGGACTTACTATAGTTAACTGCTTGGCCAGAGAGTTCTCCATAATGAGAAAGGATTCCCTTCACCACAGCACACTCTTCTGGCTTTGCCTTAAAAAACATGAAACTATCACCCGCGAAAAACAAATGAGTTACTTTTGGAGCGTGCCTCGCCACTGCTACTCCTTTTAACAGTCCCAGTTCAACCTTCCTGTTAATAAGTGAACCAAGACCCTCCGCAACTAAGATAAAAAGGTATGGTGATAGACAGATAGGGGATCCCCCTGTCGCAATCCTCTCCTTGGAGTAATAGGTCCTAGCACATCTTTGTTGAAAGGAATAAAATATGAAACTGTTGACACACATTCTAATATTACATCCACCCATTTGCGATTAAATCCTAAGCTTATCATCCATCATAGCACGTAAAAACCGCCACTCCACCCTGCCATAAGCCGTCGAGCTTCAAAGCCACATACCCTTCTTTTCCATGTTTTTTGCGTTTTAGATAATGCGCAGTCTCAAATGCAATCATCACATTATCCACAATGGATGTTCCCGGAACAAAAGGGCTTTGATTTTCTGAAACAATTCCATCCAAAATTCCTTTCATTCTATTTGTAAGCACCTTGGCAAATATTTTGTAGGGAACATTGCACAGGGAAATGGGCCGCCAATCCCCATTCCTTCTAGTCTACTCTTATTAGAATTCAGAAATGAAAATACAGTGTAATATATAGGGGAAATTTGGAAAAATAAGAAAATGAGAAGGAAAATAAAGTATCGGTTCAAACTTAATGAACTTATTTAAATATTTGTTTAATTTATTTTATTTGTTGTCGTTTTTGTTTATAAAATAAGGACTAAGAAATACAAATTTATGAAAAATGTTTTTTAATAATCAAATTTCACCTTTCTTCACATTGTAGGAGGTAAGACCAAACACAAGGAAATATTTTTTCATAGCTTCTTTTTTTCTTTCCCTAGCATTTTATGGGATCCAAACAATACCCTTAAAAAGGTTCCTTTCTGCCTGTATCATTTGTATATGGTATTCAATTTGACTTTCATGCATGCAAAAGAAAATGCGTGGTTCTCCTCCTACCTTGGCCAAACTTTGAGGTAGAAAATTATTGTTTTCTACAGTTTAGTTTGTGAAGATTGATTTGGTATTTCTTTGCGCTTTGCTTGCTTATCTTAGGTGTCAGAGAAATGGAACCTTATTGAACAATACAGAATGGAAAGAGATAGACTAAGGAAGGTAAAATCATCACGAAGTCTCCACTCCTCACTTTGTTGAATAAGGATTATTGCTTATTTCTATATATTTCCTCCTATCTCTTAGTTGGCTGAGGAAGAAGAAATAAGAAGACTGAGAAAGGAGCTTGTTCCAAAGGCTCAACCCATGCCCTACTTTGACAGACCTTTTATTCCTAGAAGGTATTTTAATAGTTTTGGCTACTACGCTTAAAACGACATGCTAATTATATTAGGGGTGATTCTGGTTTTGGATTTTCTTTGTTTTAGGTCTGAAAAGGCCCCCACAATACCAAAAGAGCCAAAATTTCACATTCAACACAAGAAGATGAAAAGTTGTATGTCTTGGAATTACGATGATATGTTTATGCATCATGAGTGAAAAGGGATGATGGATGGTTGTTCAAAAATCCACAGTTCAACCTATTGGTCATGTCATCAATATTCATTTGTGTATATGAAACAATAAGTTCTTGATTGTGCAGAGGTCAAAATTTTGGAGAAAAGTCCTCATTTTAGCACAAAGGCGTGTTCCCTTCTATAATGAAGCAGAGTTTGTGCTTTTTTCATGAGTTTGTGCTATGAAATCTACGGGGCGGATTTAGTACTTTACTGATAGTGATCATTCTATAATGAATACATTACCAAATTGAAACAGGCCTCCACAAGGAAAGGTTATAGAAATCTAATTCAATTACCGATACTCATCTTCTTAGGATTTGAATTTTTGTCTCGAGAAAGAGCAATTCGGATCAAGTTAGACCATTTTCAAGATATGTGATTTTTTAGCTTTAATTGGGTTGATTTCGTTGCGGATTAGTAATTTGGGTTGCACTGCACCGAAGAGTAAATTTAATGAGTGCTAGAATTCAAATTATACGGAGTATGTATTAGAAACTAGTTTCAAATGGAGCTCAGAATTACCTCAAAATTCGGGTATCCTTCATTTGGATTTTTATGAAATCCATGAAAATTAGGGTGTTCTCAAACATTTTGTGGATTTCTGTTGTGACTTATTTGAATGGATTTTAATGAACTTTGATAGATTTCTACATACAAAAACAATTCAACACAATCTTGTAGACTCCTCTCGGATTTCAAAATTCATAATCTTTTAAAATCCATCAAAGTCATAATCTCGGACACCCCCTAAATAAAATATAGAACTTTGAACTAATGGCTTGGTTTAAACTTCAAAAATTGGAAGTACAAAATATAGTTGTCTTTAGTGTCTTAGTGGGTTGTGCAACACTTGTCATTTCTTTATCAAATAGTTGTTATTAAATAACCGAATTTCAGACACCTCATTTATAGAGAATTTGGAGAAAGTAAACAAAGAGTGAGCCTTATATATAATAATAACTAATTAAAAGTTACGTAGTATAACATTTTAAAGTAAAACCATTGATGGAGTATATGGCCCGGGAACACCCGGCCCACAGACTCCTACTACACCAATGAAGGCCCAACAAGCCCAGGAGGCCCACCAGGTCCAAATCACGGCGCCCAGAGTACCAAGCAGCCCGCAATACGCACCAGGGGTGCCCTCGGCCCCCTGGCCGAAGGCTCTAAACTCTCACAGAATGGGTTTTCCAGGCAAACTAAGAAACTGGGAGAAAATGGCGAAAACAGTAGCCCTCGGCACCTGGAGCCCTCGGCACTCAGGGGTCCTCGGGACTAAGAGCCCTCGGCTAGTCCTCTGCAGCCGAGGGCACCTCTCCCGACATGATATCCGCCTCACATGCGTACAGATCACCGTACCCTGTACAGACGTCCCATCCAACAGCCGCATTAAATGCGACCACATGCGGCTGCCAACGCCAACCAGTTGAGGTGACCCCTCGGCCAATAGGCGCTTGACACGTGTCCCTGCCCGGCATTTATTGCTACTATAAATAGCACCCCATTTCCCCATTTGTAACCACGCTGAAAACGCTCCACATTTATAATACTCTCTCTCTCTACATTTGCTTGCTCTGACTTCTCTCTAAGTTATTCCCCGCAATAACCCTTCGGATATATACCCCCGGGTAGACTATCCATCATTTGGTGCTCTCGTTGAGAGGTCGAACAATCGAGTAAGAACCCCCCCCCCCTCGCCAAACACAAGCCCTCTACCAAAATGGTGAGAACAACACGTGCCAACTCAAAGAACGTAGAAGACAAGAACCTGGCCCTCGGCGACGTCAACGCCCCCGAAGCCTCTCACAGGGCTCCCGAGGGCAGTGTCATCGCTGGGCTGGAACAGGCGGCTGTCGACCTACGCCTTCAGATCCAACAAAATGCCCCCGATGCCCGCCTCGGCATCGAGGCCAAGAAGAAAAACCGGAGCGATGACCAAGTCAGCCCTCCGGTTCTCACCATCGACGTGCAATCGGCGCTCTCCGCCTTCATCCAAACGCTCACTCAGAACCCGGGTGCCTTCGGCACCCTGGCTCCGGCTCACCCCCAGGTGGGGGAAAACATCATACTTCCCCCTCCGCCACACCCCTTCGGAAATCCCACCCCTCGGGTGAGGAACGACGAAGGGGTAGTGGGCCAGGACACGTCCTCCCAGGAAGTACAGTCCCGGGACCGCCACAATGACAACAGGGAGAGGCCCCACACTTCCGCCCTCAACCGGCTCGGAGGAGGGCCAGACCGCCGAGGGGTCCAAGACCGCCTCGGAGGAAAGGCACTCCAAAGGCCTCAGGAAAGTGGAGGGTCTGTCTCGAGGGCAGACGAGGAGCGTCCCCCTCGGGACAAAGGCAAGGCACCCCTTCATGCCAATGATGCTCGCCACCAAATCAACCAGGCCCACTCGGCCCGGGTTCTTTCTCAGGGGGCGGAGACCCTCCCGAAGGATCCCCGGGACGAAATTATTGCGGCCCTCCAACGTCGGCTTGACGAAATAGAGTCCAACAAAGCTCACGCCACCACCTCCACCCCTCATTCAGACCTCAAATACGAGGCCATGATGGCCAAAATGGAGGAATTACAGAAGAAGGTGGCCGAGGGCTCCGGGGAACCCGTCATCCAGCTCCGGACTCGGACGCCATTTACCCCAAGGGTATTGGCGGCTCGGATCCCGGAAAAATACCGAGGGCAACACATACAACCCTACAACGGGAAAACGGACCCCCAGGAACACTACAGCAAATACCAGAACAGCATGATGATGGTAGGGGCGTCAGATGAATATTTGTGCCGTTGGTTCCTCTCCACCTTAGAGGGGCCGACATACGAATGGTTCAACAGGCTGCCCGAGGGCTGCATTGATTCGTGGCAAGAACTCGCCCAGCGATTCTTGACACAATTTGCCGGGAAGCGTCGCACAAGGAAGCACTTCTCCCACCTCCTAACCATACGCCAGAAGAGGGATGAGACCCTTCGGGACTTCCTAGAGCGCTGGAGGACGGAGGCCGACAAAGTCGACGGTGCTGATGACGGGACCCTCCTGGCCCTCCTACAAACCGTCCTCCGCACCGGCAACTTTTCAAGGAGCCTCATCATTGAACCCCCCGCGACTACATAAGGGCTTTGCAGCGGGGGGACCGATATGCTGAGGCCGAGGAGGTGGAGAAATATCACCAGCATCCGGATCAGCAACCCCCGAGGGCTGACAACAAACATAACCGAGGGCCGGGGGCTCCTCCTAACCATCCCAAGGCTTCAGGACCCTCTGATGACCGCCCTCGGCAAGGCCAAGCCAAGCCCGGGGATGTTATAAGAGCAACCCTAAGACTTGGGCACAACCCATTCTCCTGGACCGCCCTCGGACACCATTGACGCACCCCGTCAGCATCATCCTCGATTTTGCCGAGGAGAGGGGCCTCGTTGAGCGCGACTCCCGCGCACCCCCGGAGATGCTATCAACTCTCAGTTCCCATACTGTCGCTTCCATCGACACCAGGGGCACAGGACCGATGACTGCCATCAGCTAAAGACGGCCATCGAGAGGTTAATACAAGCAGGGCACCTGTCCCAATTTGTGCAGAGCCCTCGGCAGGAGGGACCTTCTCATCAGGGGCCTCCCCGAGGGCACCACACTAAGGTGAACGCTTGGGTAAACCCGAATACCATCCCCCTCGGCAAGAAGAGGGAGATTGGAAACTTGGAAGAAGAGGAGGAGGAATACCCCCACTACCAGGAGAAAAAACGCCACATCCTCATGATCACCGGTGGCAATACAGGGGGCGATTCCACCAGCCAGCGAAAGAAGTGGGCTCAATCACTTTACGTAGGGGAAGTCACTCATATGCCCCCGGTAAAGCGACTGAGGGAGGAACCCATCACCTTCACCAACGCAGATCTCCCTCCTACTTCTTCTCCTCACAGGGATGCCTTGGTGATTCGGACGGAGATAAACGACACCATCATTCACCGAACTTACATTGACACGGGCAGCTCCGTCAATGTAATGTACCTCAACACCTTCAGAGAGCTGCATCTGGAGAGGGGGTCCCTTCGGCCCATTAAGACCCCTCTTGCCGGTTTCACCGGCGATACTATTGATTCCGAGGGGGTAATAACCCTCCCGGTGATCTTCGGCGACGGGCTCCATAGAGCCCAGCTCGAAGTGGAGTTCGTCGTCGTCAACATTGACTGCGCCCACAACATCATCCTCGGTCGGCCAGCCCTCGAGGACCTCGAAGCCATCATCTCCATGAGGCACCTCTGCCTCAAGTTTCCCGCCGAGGGGGGCATTGGCTACTCCCGGGGGAATCAGAAAATTGCCCGCGCCTGCTATCTTCAAGTCACTAAGAAGGTAAGTAAGACGGAATTCCGTGTTGACACCATCACCGGAACCATCGACCAAGAGGAAAGAAGGTCGAGGGCTGAACCGGCCGAGGACGTAGAAGACTTTGCGCTCGATCCGGCCCAGCCGGAGAGAGTCGTGAAGATTGGAGCCCAGCTCCCTGAAGATTTGAAGACCGGTATCACCGACACCCTCCGCGCCTACTCCACTGTCTTTGCATGGGGACCGGAGGACATGCCGGGAATCAGCCGAAGGGTCATCACCCACCGCCTCTCGGTGGACCCCTCGGCAAAAGCAGTACAACAACGAAGAAGACCCCTCTCCGCCGAAAGGAGGGAATTTGTGAAGAAGGAGGTCGCCATGCTCCTCTCTATTAAGCACATCAAGGAGGTGAAATATCCCTCATGGCTAGCGAATGTAGTCCTCGCACAGAAGCCCCCTACCTTCCGCATGTGCGTGGACTACACCGATCTCAACAAAGCGTTCCCTATGGATCCATTCCCTCTACCAAATATTGATCAACTAGTGGATGAGACCGCAGGGTGTGAGATCATGTCCTTCCTCGATGCCTTCCGAGGGTATCACCAAATTTTCATGCACGAGGAAGACACCGAAAAAACTGCCTTCATGACTCCCGAGGGCATCTTCTGCTACCTAGTAATGGCCTTCGGCCTAAAGAACTCAGGGGCCACTTACACCCGGATGGTGGCCCGGGTCTTTCAAGCCGTCCTAGGGCGCACCATGGAGGCCTATATCGACGACATGATCGTCAAGAGCAAACAATCTTCCAGCCATGCTGACGACCTCCGAGAAATCTTCGCCATCATGCAAAAGTTCAACCTTCGGCTAAACCCGAAGAAGTGCACCTTCGGCGTCCAAGGGAGCAAGTTCTTGGGCTACATGGTGAGCCGAAGGGGTATTGAGGCCAATCCCGAGAAGATCCAGGCCATCATCAACATGGAGCCCCCACGCAACGTGAAGGAAGTTCAACGGTTGACGGGCCGCCTGGCAGCCCTCAACCGCTTTCTATCTAAATCAGCGGAGAAATCTCTACCCTTCTTCCAGATCATGAGGAAGACGGCTGACTTTCTATGGACTCCGGAATGCCAAGGGGCTTTCGACGAACTCAAGCGGTATCTATCTTCACCCCTTGTGCTCTCAAAACCAAAGGTAGGGGAGACCCTCTATCTCTACCTTGGGGTCAGCCCGGCGGCCATCAGCTCTGTGCTCATCCGGGAGGAAGACGGCATCCAACATGCCATCTTCTACGTTAGCAAGACCCTAAGGGAGGCCGAGCTTAGGT